CAATCAGATTACTGATTAGGCTGCAGCTCTGCACCTCCCCATCACTGGGCTCCAGGATACAGGCAGCCAAGCCTTTCCTTCTTGCAGGGACCAGGGAGAGTCTTGTGACAGAGCCCAGGAAAACTGACCTGCAGCACTGAGGTCAGTAGGCCCCGAGAAGGAAAGGTTCAGCTCACAGCAGGCACTGTCCATCCCCACTGAGTCCCTCACTCTTAAATATGGGCAAGCCATCTGAGGAGAGCTTCACACAGAAATGGGAAGACAGCCTAGAGGAAAGAGATCCTTCAATGAGGAGAAAAGAAACAAAATTTGTTAAAATCAAGAGAATATACCATGAAATGAAGACCATGTTTTAGTTTTTAATAAAAGTTGACAGAACAAAAAAGAATTCTTGTACATGAAAAACTATGGCAAAAAAAAGTGTAAAAAAAATCACTAGAAGAGTATAAATATGAAAATAAGGAGGTTTCCCAAAAGCAAAACAACTTTAAAATGGCAGAAAACAGGAAATAAGAGGATTGGTTCAGACAATCCTATTATCACAATAGTAGTAGTTCCAGAAAGAGATAAAATAGAAAAAATTTGAGGGGAGAAAATCACCAAAGAACAATTCAAGAAAATTCCCAGAGCTGAAGATTAAGTTTTTCTGGATTGCCAGGGCACAAAAATGCCCAACATGCTGGATAAAATACACCAAGGCCCGGCACTGTGGATCTCGGAACACCACGGACGTTGGATGTATCAGTCAGGGCAGGCACTGTTAAACTGCAGCAGTGAGTAGCCCAAAAGCCCTCAGAGGCTTAAAACAACAAAGATTTATTCTTTACGTTTATTTCAATCAAACAGGGTCATGGGGTGGGTGGAAAGAGGCTCTGCAAGCTGAGCAACATCACTGTCAAGCTGAGTTCAGAACCAAACTAGAGGAAAGGAAACTCTGGCGGCAACTTACACTCGCAGGTAAGTGCACGCCCAGAAGTGGATGTAGCACTTCTGTTCAGCTCCCAGGCAGGCCACTGGCACAAAAACCGTGTCAGGCCATCAAGCTCAGGGAGTGAGGAAGGGAGAGCAGTCCTACAAAAAGCCTGGGGGTCAGAGGGCTGGACATGTGTGGTGAACATTTACCAGGGGCAAAAGAAAGACTCTAGAATCCTCAGAAAGAGGAGGACTGGCTTGAAACTCTTCAACAATACTGGAAGCCAGAAAGGATTGGATCAATGCTTCAAAAATTCTCAAGGAACTTTTTCTCTTTAATTCTACATTATCAATTTATCAGACATGAAGGTAGAAAATATACTTAAGGGTAAAGTCTCAAAATTCACCTCCTATCACATCCAAACCAGGGAGTGAAACAGGAGAAAGTCAGGAAGTGGAAGTCAGGAAACAGGAGCCCTGCAGTGGGCAGCTCCAGGATGACTTGCGTGCAGGTGGTGAGGCTGGCAGCTGGTCGCCAGGTACACGCACCAGTTGCAGTAGAAGGCTCCAGGGCCCTTCTTCAGGAAAGGGTGCTGACAGAGGGCTATCCTGATGCTCCTGAACGTGGTGGGGGAAGATAGGACAACTGGCGAAAAGTCTGCAGTTGGATCTGGCATACTACATAGAAAGCAAGCAAATTGAAACACCAGCCAATTATTCACTGGAGAAGACAAAAATTAACGGACAACATGACTCACTAGGAACAGAATTTACATAGTCATGCGTATAAACAATGCATGTTGATCTCCGTGAGATTATACCACATCTACATAGGAGGGTGGAGAGCCTGTATGAGGGCAAAGAGAACAACAAGTCATCTTCCAAAGAACAAAGTCACTAAGTAATATCTACAATTGAAAAATCAGGCCGATGATTCGAAGACACAAAAATAAATACCAAAATAATCATCTAGAAAAAGTGAAGTGCCTGCTTCTGGGGAGAGGGAAATGGTGGCAGGGGATACTGTTTGGCCCTGCAGAGGCTATTTAACTTTTAAAACTATATGCATGTTAAAAAATAATAATACGTTAAAGGTAATTCAAACTAAGTCTGCCCAGGAGCTACCTAATAAGTTGCCTGATTTTTGATTCGGTACAAAGGGTAGTCACAGTTCTTTCAATGAGCCATTAGCACTACTATAAGTGCTACAAGAGCTGAAACATAAAACACAATCCCTGTCCTCAGAATCAGAATTTCATTGAGGAAAAAATACCTACATATGAATGAAACGAACTCAAGTACGATGCATGGAAAAGAACTCAAGTACAATGCAAGGTGGCAGATGGTCAACCCCAAGACATGGAGAAGAGTTATGTGGTAGTAAGAAAAAGACTCAGGGCCACAGTAGGTAACAAAGACTGGGAGAGATGTGAGGGGTAGAAGGAGAAAGCCCAACAGAACTTGAGTTCTGTTCCTGGAACAGGGAGGGCATTTCTGCCCTGAGACTGGCTAACACTGAGGTGTGTATACTTGGGAAGTATGAACAGTTTCTCAAACACTGGTAAGACTTTACTTGTAACAGGGAGGGCAAGATTATGAATCAGGAAAAGCAGAGATTAGAAAACACAGGCATCACTGTTGAGGGACTACATTTTCAGCGTCCTTGTGTGTTATCAATCACAAGTATCAGTCACAAGCCCTGTAACATTTTTCCCTGCAGAGTGGCTCAGACTTAGCATATCTGCTCCTTGTTCACACTGCCGCCACGCTGTCTTAAACCCCTCATAGCTAAAATCATCCACGTCACGGCCTGCACCCCGGGTCTGCCTCCCTGCTCTGGCCCATCTATCTGGCACTCTCATTGTTGTACTTTTATTTTCACACTCCAATGACACCATCCTTCTTTGCCTTCCTAGAATACTCGCTGCTCTTGGCTGCCACAGGACCTCTACACTCACTGCTCCTCCTAGAACCCACTCCCTCCTATGACTTCCCTGTTCACTCCTACATAAGCCTTTGATTCTCAGCTCACTTTTTGATTCCTCAAGAAAATAAACGTCCCTGGTCGCTCTCATTCAGGAGTTCCTGCCACAGTTCCCAAGCATTCCTTTCCCTCAGACCAGTTTGTAGTTTAACCTTTATTTGGGTGATTATCCAATTCATGCCCACCTCACCATCTTGGCCAGTGGTTCTCAAAGTGGGGTCAGGCTACAGCAACAGCATACAGAGGAACCTATTAGCAATGCAGAATCTCAGGCCACGTTCCAGACCAACTGAATCAGAAACTTGAGGTGGGAGACAAGCAGTCTGTTTTAAAACCCCCCTTAAGTCATTCCGATGCATGCTTATGTATGAGAACCAAGGTGCTAGACTATGTGTTCTGTATTATCACAGCACAGAACAGGTGTTTTTGTACCCCATGGTGTCCCCTGGTGCCATGTTCAGTGACAACAGTAAGGTAAGATTTTCTTGTCAAATGAATGTCTACTTAAAAAAAATTTTTTGCATGGCTCCATAAATCCCCTACTTTATTCCTTGTAAACCCTTACGTCTAACTTTAGAATGCCCCAAAATAAACACTGAAACTGCTGACCAAAGACCTGGGTCAGCACCCATCCTAACTCCTGCTCCCAGGTCTTTCAGGGTTTAAATTTTGGCCCTCCATCTCTTACTATCTGTGTGATCATCCATAAACTTCCTAATCTCTCTTGGCCTTAACGTCCTCACCTCTAAAATAGTAATCATTATAGCATCGATATCCCAGAGTTGCTGAATGATTGAGACAATGGCACTAAGAATCATGACTGCACATACACAGTTAAGCACTCAACAAATGTAGGTAGTATTATTGCCATAATAATAATTATTCAACTTTAAATGCTCTTTCCTCTTAGGTCTCAGCTTTCTTACTCAAGATTGACCAAACATACTTCAGACTCGTTCTTCCTCCCTTGCAAAAGTACTCACATCTAACACCCATCAGGGGCTTGAAACCTCCACTAGCAACCGGGAGTCCTGCTGGAGCTTTCTGGCTCCACCTCCTGAACAGCTGGGCTGTAGCAGACAGGCTGGATCTACTCTTACTTGCTTTCCTAGAGTTCAACTGAAGTCTCTTCAGCCAAGTCCCCACTTACCTTGGGAATCAGATCTTGGTAACTCAACAGGTGACAGGTGGTTTCATTTCAGTGTCTGTCTGGGTGGTTAGCCTTCAAACGCAGCTCACGCTGGGAGCTATTTCTAGTCCAATTTTGGTACTTGGTAACGTAGTAATAGCAGCAATTAAAACATATTCCCAACGAACAGATCTTAAAAACGACGGTTTCTGACTTCCCTAATATGCAGAGGGTCCACCACCTGCCTGCGAAGTGCCCCTCCTGCCCTGTCTCCAGGCAGCACGCTGTGAGTGATGACAGAAACGAGACCCGCACACCGCGAAGACGCGGGCACGCCCCGCCCGGCCACCGAGCTGCCTGCCTGCTGCGCCCGGCTGCCCAGCCCCGGGGAAAACACCTGGAATGGGGGTGCCCCTGCGCCCAGACACCTGGGCACAGCCGCTAGCCGGGGGAGGGCGCCCACACCTGGCTCCCCAAGAGTTAAACGTTGAGTAATTTTCCCGAGGAACAAACTGTCGGAGCAGGGGCTCTGCCAACCGCCACAGTATTTTTATCCGACTTAACCAACACTGCGGCACGACCGCGGGTGCCCCCAAGGGTGTCCCCGCGCGGCACGCTCCGGTGTCGGCGACAGGGACCTTCGCCGGCTCCCAGCGCGATGTGGACGACAGTGCCGCCGCCGAGTCCCTCGCGCCTGAGCAGGAGGCAGAAACCGGAGGCCGCCCAAGGACGGCTAGGGGCCCCTGAGCCCGAGGTCCGAGCCCGGGCCTAAGCGGTCGGGGGTGTGCGCCCAAGTTGGCCCACCGATTTGCTGCAAGAGTGGAAAGGGGTGGGAGCAGAAAGCGCAGGTCCCACCGGGGCAGGGAGCAACGCGGGCTGCAGGGCCGCCGCAGGGCCAGGCACCGCCGCCACCCGGCCCACCCAGGCGCCAAGGAATGAATGGGGCTCCCCAGCCGGCCGCGGGAGCGCACTCACAGGCAACGTAGGCGAGCAAGGCGATGCCCAGCAGCAGCTTCATCCTCCTGCGGTTGACGGCAGACACGAGGCGCAGTAGCGCCTTGCTCACCATCCCAGGGAGCCGCGCCGGTCCAGGGCCCTGCTGCGCGGGGGCCCGCCTGCTGCACAATGCGCCGCGGCGGCGGCGGCGGCCTGAATAGCCCCGCCCCCTGCCGCCGCGCGTCCCCGCCTCCGCGCGCCGGGCTTCCTGCCGGTGGGATCACCGCGCAGGCGCACCTCCACCCACTCCTCGAGCTCCGCCCCCGCCCAGCCGGCTTCTGTTCCCGCAGGCGCAGTTGCAGCCTTTCACGCCTTGGTTTTCGAAGAATGTGGCCTGGAGGTCTGGTGGGCGGGCGCGGCGCGGCGCATGCGCGTTCCGATATGTTTTCCCCGAACGTGTGGGCGCCGGCGCGGTTCCGGAGTTGCTGCGGGGTATGTTTCGCTGAGGTGCGTCCCCATCCCGAGCGTGCGACCGCAGTAGCCAGTTTCCGAGGCCCGCCCGGCGAGGGGCACGCGGTGGGCATTCCAGTGTTGCCATGAGACGAAACTTATTTGCTAATTTTGGTCGAGACTTTGAAGTTGTTGAATGCCTGCCTCAGAAAGTTGCCTCGTTCTCTGGGCTGTTTGGTTGGCTTTTTTTAGTTAGAATATCGGCAGGGAAAATGATAAATCCCCTAAACCTTGCCGAAGTAAAAACTGGCTGCATTTTTTTTTCCTCTGCTGTGATCGACTGGGGTGCCTTTCTTTTAAAAATAAAGGGTCTTTTATTACTTTAAAAAGCAGTGCTGAGTATATTAATTTAGGATAGACTGGGGAAAGAAAAGATGAAATCGCGCTGTCTCTCCTTAGAGAAAAACCCTGAGCATTTAATCGTGTGTGTTTCATTCAGTCTTTTTGTTGAGTGTATCTCTTCTGTGGGTGCTGTACTGATTGCATAGGAGGTACCTGTGTTTATTTCTTTAAAAAGCATTTATTGAATGAGTACAAGTAGGGAAGTGTATCAAAAGTTTCACAGACAATCAGAAGCTCGTCGTTGGATCTGCAGAGAGCTGGTCCCATGGAGGAAAAAAGACAGGTACACACAGATGTGGGTGATGCCACGTCAAGAGAGATCCTGGATTTGGGAACTGCAGGCTTCAAGAGCTCATCTTCAGCTAGAGGGAGAAATTGAAGTCAGCAGCAGCTCTCCTGCCTCTTGGAACCTCAGGCCATTTTGCACTCAATAGAACACCCTCCTTTAGATTTATTAGAAACCTTCAAGAAAAAGAAATATGGGAGCTGGTACTAAAGCAGCAGCTTTATGTTATATCTTTCAAACTATATAGTGCAAATGCTGTGATTCTGATAAAACCTCCCTCCATCCTATCTCTCACCTAAACCTACTGAGAATCCCTGACTAGGAGGAAAGAGGCTGAGCGGTTTCACAAGGGCGGAACACCTCTGCTATCCATTCTGCCCATAGATGGAGGGGACTTCTTTCGATAAGCCCAGCTCCCTGATTCTGACATGCCCAAGGAGGCTGCCAAGTGACAAACACCTGGCATGGGAGCCTGAGCCCTGGGTTCCCAGAGGGGCCAGGCCCCAGAGCACACTGATTTGGAACAAATCGATTTTGTAAGTCTTGCATTTCCTCATAGCTGACTATTTGGGTTTGCCTTAGATCTATGGTTTTTGAAAAGAGAAGTAACTAGAGCCACTGGGGCTCTAGGTTTTTCCCATTCCATGACTCTGGTTTTTAGATTAAAGATGAGGAGCAGAAATGAAAGAAAAAAAGAGTTCATTAACACTTGACCTATGGGCAAAATGAAATTGAAGCTTCTTGGCAGATTTTAAGCATTTTAGGTTTTAGGTGGGGTTTAGCTGATAGATAACCTATTAGATGAAAAAGGCCAGAAGTTGTGGGGTATTTGCCATTTCTGTAGTAAACTCCTTAAGCCCAGCATTCGTAGTTGAGCATTTTTTTTTTCTGAGGCTGGATACTATTGCCAACTTCTGCCCCATGGGATTAAGTAAATGGAAATACCATTAGCAGCTGCAGTTGAAATAGCTGCTGCTGTCATTATTGCCACCCAGAAGGCGGTTGGTGTCCCAGGACCCTGGTGTCCAGTTGAGCCACAGCCAGAATTAAAGAGTAAGCAGTAATAAGTGTGTACCCAGTGGAGGCTAGAAGGCCTGAGGGAGGGAAATGCCAGAGGAGCCCTCCAGGCTCTTCTGGGGACCTTGGATGTAGGCAGCACCATTTCTTTGTACTTCTTGCCTCTCTTGTCTCTTCCCAGCCCATCCCCACTTCCCTAGAAGATTCTGGGCTCATCCTTCCCTGCCCTCTCCCTTGCTGTCAAGCCCCTCATATTTCTAGTGAATAGGTTAACAACAATATTTTTGAGCAGTTACATACTTTTGAACAATTACAAGTTACAAGATAATGTTTTTGACACTTAGGGTAATTAAAAAATGAATAATAATATGGCTTCTGTCCTAGAGTGTTCAAAGCCTAAGGAGAGGAGAAAATTAACATTTATTAAACTTCTACAATGTGCCAGGGACTGTTATGCAATGCACTTTCATTGTTATCTCATTGTTATGGTTTGGTTCTATATCCCCACCCAAATCTCATCTCCATTTGTAATCCCCACATGTCAAGGGAGGGACCTGATGAGAGGTCACTGGATCATGGGGGCAGTTTTTCCCATGTTGTCCTCGTGTTAGTCAGGGAGTTCTCAGAAGAACCAATGGTTTTTGTTTTGTTTTGTTTTGTTTTGTTTTGTTTTGTTTTGTTTTTTTGAGACAGTCTCGCTCTGTTGCCCAGGCTGGAGTGCAGTAGTGCAATCTCAGCTCACTACAACCTCCACCTCCTGGGTTCAAGTGACTCTCCTGCCTCAGCCTCCCCAGTAGCTGGGATTACAGGCTCTGGCTACCATACCCGGCTAATTTTTGTATTTTTAGTAGAGACATGGTTTCACCATGTTGGTCTGGCTGGTCTCAAACTTCTGACCTCAGGTGATCCACCCGCCTCGGTTTCCCAAAGTCCCGGGATTACAGGCATGAGCCACCACGCCTGGTCAGTTTTAAAAGTGTTTGGAAGATCCCCCTTCTCAGCCTTTCTCTCCTCTCCCCTGCTGCCATAAAAATAAGGTCCTTGCTTCCCCTTCACCTTCTGCCAGGGATGTAAGTTTCTTGAGGACTCCCCAGCCATGCTGAACTGTGAGTCTATTAAATCACTTTCCTTTATAAATTACCCAGTCTTTATCAATTCCTTATAGCAGTGTGAAAACTGACAAGTACACTCATTTAATTCTTGTAACAGCCCTTTGGGGGACAGGGTTAGCATTGTTGCTGCTGTTTAAAATAAAACTTTTAAAAATTGTATATATTTATGAAGTATTGTATGTATATTATAGTTGGTGGAATATCTAAAGCTAGTCATTAACATATCCATTTACTCACATGTTTATTTTTTGTAAGAACGTTTAAAATCTCTGCAGTTTTCAACTTTACAGTATGTAGTTATTAACTATAGTCACTATATTGCACAGTGGATCTCTTTAATTCCTTCTATCTAACTGGAATTTTATATCTTTGAACCAACATTTCCTCAAACCCCTCTTGCCCTAGCCTCTCTCTGCAGCCTCTCTGGTAAGTACCAGTCTGCTCTCTGCTTCTATGAGTTTGACTTTTTTAGATTCTACATATAAGTGAGATCATACAGTATTTGTCCTTCTGTGACTAGCTTATTTCACTTAATATAATGCCCTCCAGGCTCATTCATATTGTCTCATATGACAGGATTTTCTTCTTTTTTGAAGACTGAATAGTCTTCCATTGTATATGTTTACCACATTTTCTTTATCTGTTCATCCATTGATAGGCACCCGGGTTGCTTCCACCTTTTGGGTAGTGTGAGTAATGCCACAGTGAACATAGGTGTCAAAATATCTTTAAGACCCCACTTTTAGTTCTTTTGGGTACACACCCAGAAGTGGTAGTGCTGGGTCCTAAGGTCGTTCTATGTTTAATTTTTTTGAGGAATCTCTATACCGTCTTCTGTAATGGCTGTACTGGTTTACAGTGCTGCTGTCTTTAAGAGATGAGGAAACTGAGGCTCTGAACATTTGATTACTGTCCCAACACTTCGTAGGTAGCAGGGTTATGGTTACTTGGCTTGGGAAGTAACAGGGTTACCAAACACAGAGCTGGGAGTGTAGGGCTGGAATTCTAAGCCATGATTTTCCCGATGCGAGGATGCTTTTCTGGAGTTGAGTGCAGACATGCACAGAAATGACTATCACTCATAGCAAAATGATAGTCCTGAGTGCTTCCTCTGGGATGGGGTCACATGAATGGCTGAGGAATTTCACAAGAATCATATATGCTTCCAGGTCATGAACTGTGGCTTGCCATGCAGGGACCGCTGACAGGCTCACAAGGGCTGACAGTCTGCAACTCTTCTTCTGGGATTATTTTCACCATGAAAATATGCAGTTGCTAAAAACCAGGGATTCTTTAAAAAGAAAACAAAACTAGCATACATCTGCTTGCAGATGAGAACAGTGAGAGAGAAAGCTTTGCAGAGCAGAAGCTACATGAGCTGAATTTGAAAGGATGTAGTATAGGATTTGCACTCGTATATCTTGGATAGGGGCATCCCTCAGGAAATAGGAAAGGCAAGGATGCTGGGGAGGGAAAGGTTTCCATAGGAGATAGTGGGGATCCCTGGCAGGAAGAGCAGAGAACAAGAAGCAAAGGTATATTGGCCAGAAGCAGTGGTTTCTATCCGTAATCCCAGCACTTTGGGATGCCAAGGTGGGTGGATCACTTGGGGTCAGAAGTTTGAGACCAGCCTGGCCAACATGGTAAAACCTCATCTGTACTAAAAATGCAAAAATTATTAGGGCATGTGGTGGGTGCCTGTAATCCTAGCTACTTGGGAGGCTAGGACAGGAGAATCGCTTGAACCCAGGAGGCAGAGGTTGCAGTGAGCTGAGATCATGCCACTGCACTCCAGCCTTGGTGATAGAATGAGAGTTCATTGCAAAAAAAGAAGAAGCAGCGAAGGTATAAATAACATTGGAAAGGAAGGCCTTGAGGGTTAGAACAAACTGGGCATCAGTCACACCCTCAT